CGCGATAGTCATCGATCACAGTGAAAATGCCCGCGCGACTCAGCAAGTTTTCCATTGATGTGCCTTGCCAGGATTACGCTCATCCATGGACGAACTCGTGCGTCAGCGCGACCACTGGTCTCGGTTTGCACTCCCTCCAGGAATCCTTCAGGATATACACGACTGTTTACATCGTACGTGCGACGCGATCACGCACTCTTTCTTTTTTATTTCCTTTCTGTTTCCTTCCTTTTTCTTTCTTCCTCATCAAGATAATTAGACTTTGACTGCGTTCGCGGAGCGCGCTGTTATAGCTCATAATTCCATCTTTATTACTTATTAGATGTAAATTAAGAGACTAAGACGCGATAGCGTCTTAATAGAACGCGCCTTTCAAAACGCGAGCCTTGGTCGAATTATTCGAGAGACGAGTGTACGCGGATTCTGGGATGCGTTTTTCGTGCACTTTGATATCGCTCCCTTCGGAGCGGGGAACAAACAACGACCGCGCGTCTTTCAAAACAGGTGCATTGACGCTTCAACGGAGTACAGTTGCACTCAGCGTACGAATGACCCGCGATGGCGGGTTCGTTCGGTACACGTTGAGTGCGGATGTACCGTGCCCTAATGCACGCGGCAGCTGAGTGAGTGCAACCGCACTGCGTCGTGTCCTACGCGTTCTCGTCCGTACATATGTCCCGACGAATTTTTGACGAATATGCGAAATGTCAAGCGCGACAATTGCCCCGAGCTTCGACGAGCATTCACTGTCCATTTCTATCAAAACCTTCATCTTTTTCTAAATCCTACGGAGAGACAAAAAATTTTGTCTTCGATCAGGACAAATATATAAGAAGAGATTAGTTTTTTTTTTTTAATTTTTCTGTTTTGATTAAATTGAGGCAAGTATTACTTACTGCTCACACAAGGCTGAAAATTTTTTATATGAAGATTATAATATTCTTGCTTATACGTGAGAAGTTTAGTTTTAATTTAAATTTAAAGTTAAAAAAAAACAAGAAAAAAAAGAATGCTAACTGTAAGCTCGATGAAGTTCTATTTTTAACAATTAATTGTTAGAAAACGATTATACTATTAATATGAAAAGAACTTTAATTAGAATTAATAGATAATAGAAAAACAAATTAAATTAGAATGATAAATTGTAATTTGCTTTATCGTTGACTGAATTAATTATCTATTAAATTAGTTTGATCAAATTTATTTTAAATACTCAAAGTGTTACTTTCACATTTCATCTTTAATTTTTCATTCGCGAATTCGAGAATCGAGAATTCACTAAATGTTATGGCTTGAGATTGATATATATTTGCTTCTTTATCGCTTTAATTACATTATTTATTATTTTTTTTCATTCATGTTTACATAAAGACTTAAAAAAAAAATCATCAAAAAACATAAATTAAGCCTGTAAAGAAATATATTTTATTAATACATATGAATATTGAATATATTAATACATATTAATACATATGAATATGTAACTGAGTATTTTTAAAATTCGAATATACTCGGAATATAAAATCATATATGAATGTAATTCCGAAGTTTTTTGCATAATAATAATAATATTAATATAGTATGATAAAGAAGAAACTCATATTAAAACTTTGATCGGAACTTATTTCGCAATCGTATGTTCTTTTTGAACTTCTTGCATGATTCATCTTTTCTCTTTTTTTTTTCAACGTGAAAAAAAGAGGAAAAATAAATCGTGTGTGCAAGAAGTTAAAAAGAATAGGTCTATTGACACACTACACAGTTGTTTCATATATGTTTCAATGTCATCGTATTTATAATATACTTAAGTAGTACAAATTATAAATTATACATCACGTAAACGAGCAAAGAATAATATATAAAATATGGATATAAAATGATTTTGGAATACTAATGCGATGTTATTCGCTTTTGTTCTATTATCAATTGACTGTTGAACTTTTACACTGTAATCGGACATTGCTTTTATAATTTACGATATAATGTTGCAATTCTGTGTAATTATTCATTTTCAAGATTCATTATATACATGCGAATAAATATAAATCAATGACACGTTATTATTCGCGTGAAACTAACTCTTAATTGTGATTTTTGTAAATTAATTTTTGTAGTTTTGTCGTTAAATAAAAAGCAAACGAAAAGACAAGGGAATGAAAAAAGAAACACATAAACATAACATAAATCAGATGAATCGAATATTTATAAACAATAATGATGATGAATAAGAATAAACGCTAATAAACTTAATATTCATAAGAATTTTTAATGCCAGTAATGATTTCCATCCCTCTTATTTCAGATTGCATTTTTAATGAGAAGAAAAGTACCAACGAAGGAAGACGTCAAGAAAACTGTATTGGGTATTCTCCAATCCACAGCATTCCTTTCATGGAGTGGTTTTTCTTACTCGTTGTTTATCTGTTTGTTAAGGCAAGAAGTGTTAAGTATATAGCTATGTTAGAATTTCCGGAGAAACTTGATTTAAAAATTTTATGCCTCTTTCAAGAACTGTGTATTGATCAGCATGAATATTAATACCGCTATGATATGCGTAGAAGATATCTATGTGAAAATCGTGTTTCAGGCGAATATTTGGACGTTTTTATATGCCGACTGTCTCGTTTCTTCCGTCCTTTTTATCTAGCCTATCTGCTATTGTGATAGAAAGAGCCTCTAGACGAACGTTATTGTGTCTCTACGTATCGAACATTGTAAGTAAATGTTGCAAAAATCGAATTGCTGATATACATCATTATGGTTTTCTTCCAGGCGACGGAAACGTTGTTCAGAATGGGCGTATGGCGTGGGTACTTTTCGCCCATTCCGAGAGGAGAAGTCTACATCTTTGCCGTAAGCGTAACTGTGTTACTGTACTTCTTTCGATCGAAAGCAAACAAGCAGGATCAGATATATAAGATATTTAGGTATTTGAATTTATGTGCTTGATTTCTCTGTATTATATATATATATATATATATATATATATATATATATATATATATATATATAATAAAA